ATAAAGAATCCCCAGCGTGAAAATCCCTGGCAAGGATGGTTTGCCATGAAAGCAAGACACGGGCTAAATGAGACAACGCCTGAGACCCAGGACTGGCTCCTACCGAGAAGCTGCGCTGTGGCACATACGGCACGGAGACATCGCTGCACTTTGGCAAACAAAACGCCTCACAGAATCAGAGGCCCTGGCTGGAGTTTCCCCACTTTGAAGCACTGATCAAGCACGTGCCTGCAGCCCAGCCGCACACGAGCGAGCGAGCGGCCAGGTTCCCTATGCAAAGGCTAATACCCGATGTGTCTTGGACCGTGCACACGACTGAGGCCATGAATGCAATGGCTGCCAACCAGCGCCACCAAGATCAGCTGCCCCCTTGCTCATCTGTCACCTCCTAATGACCCTCTGGTACATTTGGGAGCCAGCCGTTTGGCCGGTAGGAAGGGAGTAAATAGGAAGGGACGCGACAAACCTTTCTTCTCGTATTCGGGCTTCTCCTCCCCGCCCCTGCCCAGGCTCTCCAGCGTCCGCGTCACCTGGCTGCCAAACTCGTCCTCCCTCGTGCCAGGCTCTGCCCGCTGCGGGACCTCGTCCTCGTCCTCAAAGTCGTAGTCGTCCAGGATGGGCGTCTCGCGGATGGGCATGCCGATGACGGAGTTGTGAGCCTGCAGGCGTGAGTTGCGGAAGCTCTCCCGGGCCTGCGGGCCCAGCAGCACCGAGGGGATGTAGTGGATCTCGTGGGTGGCTTCAGTGCTGGCACTTTTCTGGGGGATCCGGCGGCGCTTGTGCCATCGCCGCTGGGCATACAGCGCCACTGTGAACACCAGCAGGAGCAGGAGCAGAGCGATCAGGCCACCCTGCAGGAGAGCAAAGGAGAAACATTAACAGGAGCTCAGGGCCTGCATTGCTCCATTCCCTCCAGACCCCGAAGGGGACCAGGACAGCATCACCATTCCCCTGTTTCGGGAGCACCCTTTCATCCTGGATGATTCCAAAGCACTTTGCAAACTACCAGTTGTCAGGGAAACCACCTCGCCCGCTCCTGAAATGCAGCCACCTCTGGGGTGGAGGCAGCAGCCAGGAAACCTAACTAGCACACAGCATGTTGCATGGGCAGGAAAGGTTCTGGCTGAGGACAATGGGCCAACACCTTAGTCCCAAAAATGGGGGTGGGGGGAAAGATCTGAAGTCTCAGCAGAGCAGAGGGGATGTCAGAAGGTCTCAGCCAAAAGATGCCAGCACAGCAAGCTGCATGGGACTCGATTTCCATGGGGCCAGGGCAGTTCTGCTAGAGGCTGATCCAGCTAACGCGACTCATATTGCAATAGCTCCCACTCCGCCCTGGTACCAACGGGGCGATTATATAAGAACAGAATGGAGACAAAGCAAAGTGCTCCACCACTGCAACCCCCCAGACTCGCTGCGCCGCACCAGTGGGGTTACCAGCACTTTGCACCAGGGCAGCACATCTACACTGGAGGGGTTGCACAGGTGCCATTACAGCGGCGTTTAATGGAGCCCGCCCACTTCAATAACTTCCTGTCTGTCCGGGATAGGGTACGTCTACACTGCAGCTCAGAGGGACGCACCTGCACTAGCTGTAACCTAGTTAGCTGGATAAAAAGAGCAGTTGAAGATGCGGCGGCACGGACTATACCTAGGAACATACTTGCAGATCCAGCCCGCACTGAAGCCTGCGCCCTAGACCCTCACGGCTGTTTTTAGCGAATCTGGATCTCAGCCATCACCATTGGACCACTTTTCCTCCTGCTGGTTTCCAACACTGCTCTTCAGGAACCTCTCGGACAATTCCAGGGCCCGATCTTTCCCTCTCCAAGCCCAAAACGATCTTATCAAATCTATCTCTGTGATGGATTTATACATTTATATTTATTATTTACATTGAACACCTCACCATCACTGAATTTATCCTTACCTCCCCGCTCCCCGGTCAGGTAGGGAAGCTTTATCCCCATTCTGCAGATGGGAAACTGAGGCACTTATAGAGTAAGTCATGCAGGGAGTCTGTGGCAGAGGTAAGAGCTGAGCCTGGATCAACTGCATCCCAGCCCAGCGCCTCAGCCCAAGGCTACCCCTCTGAAGCAGTATTGCACGCATCCTCCTGGCAGATGCACTGATGGGAACAATAGTAAAAGTGCTTCTTAATGCAGGTGCATCCTCAGAGGTGGTCTCTCCAAGTTAAGGCACCCAGGCTGGGCAGCAATGGAGAAGTCTTCACTGCCACTGTCCATGCTGCCCCTGTTCTGGAGGTAAATACAGACTGTCTTTCAAGTGGGCACTTAACGCAGGCAGGCAAGAGAAATGGGTTTGCTGTTTGCAAGCCGCTCTGAGACCCCCTGCAGCTTCTAGTCAGTTTCATACTGTGGCAGACAAATATCCCAGGGCAGGTAAATCAGGAGTGGCGTGAACAATCAGGGCTTTACAGCATGACATGTAACTGCTGGGGGAGGGGAGGAATTTATGTTGGCAAATGAATGCCCAAATCCAAGAAACTTTACAAACCGTGTAACCAACATATAAATATTTCATCTGTATTCAGTAAAAACATTGTGAGCGTACAGAGAGATCTGAGCCACATAAACAGGATAATCTATAAAAAGCGAGTGTCTAAAAAATGTGATTCACAAGATGAGTTAGCTTGGGAGACAGACACTCAGCCAACGACAGCTGGATGGATCTGGCAAACTCACTCCCTGCTTTCACAATAGTGCAATCTTTGCACGTATTCTGAGCCAGTTCCACCATAATGCAGTCACACTCAACTTCGAAAGAAAGCCGCTGAGGAAGGCACAATATTGCACATGATGCAGATGGTGAGATACCACGTACACCCACAGGGTCATGCACAGCAGTCTTCTAGCACATCCCTATGCCCCCTGTCCATTCATGCGTGGTGGGTGGATCTCACAGTTGCACCTACAAGCTCACGAGTGTGGTGAATGGGTCCCTGTGCACCCCAAAAACCCACACGGCCATGTGGGGTGGATGAGCATCACCCCTCCACCCCCATGAACCCCCCTATTCATGCACAACAGAACCGTCTCGCACTCACAAATCCGCCTAGTGACTTCTGGTAGACACCTACAAAGCCAGCACGCTTGTGAATAGTGGATGGGTCCTCTTGCAGTGTTGTGTATGGTAAACAAGCCGCTCACACCCCCATGCGCCTACGTGGTAGACGGGCTTCAAGCACTGGCACCCCTCCACAGCCTATTTCCACAAGTCACACCTACTTTTTCCCCCCTAACCCCTACACAATGGAAAACCTCTTTGCCTCTAAGTTAGCAAGAGTAAGGGAGCCAGTGTCCCTGTACAAGAGGTCTGCTCAGAGCCCGGGGTGTTTTCGGACCTGGGGGAAGTCTCAGGAAGTGTTGGTTTGGTTGCAGAGGGCTGGGAAGAGTGCAAAGCAGTCCTTGGTCGTTAGGTCCTGGGGGCACCACCTGGGCCTTTCTTTCTCCAGTGGTATAGTTGGTCATGAATCCAGCAGCTGGTTGCCTGGAGCATGAGGGAGCAGCATTAGGAGGCGAGGAAAGGTTGCCATAAAGAGAGGAGCCTCTGAGGAGCCCACAGCTTTCCTGGCCCAGCCCAATCTACTGTGGAAACGCAATATGGCAGCTCTCATTAGGATCCCCTCCCCAGCCTCATCTGTTTTCTCATTTGGTTCTGTAATTGACACTAATAGGAAGAAGGGCTCAGGGAGGCGGAATGACTTTGCTCAGCGCGACTTTCCCAATTTAGCAGACAGCGTCTGTCGGGAAACAGAACGCATTCAGTGGCCAGGAAAGACTCCTGCAGCTGTGACTGGGAGAAGGGCACACGAGGGGAGGACCACAGACTGTGTGAGGATTCTTCCTCGATGCTCAGGATCAGGGTACCCAGGAGAGCTTGAAAAAAGAGGGAACCCATTTTCTGTTCCCCTCTGTATGTGCACAGCGCCTTGCACAATGGGGTCCTGATCCATCATTGGGACTCCGAGGCATGAGAGTGATATGAATTATAATGTTTCTTGGAGCTCCGCGTCCAGGCAGGTCATGGCCTCTTGGGAGAGTCATTCACGTGGGGGAGGAGTTTCCGCCTGTTGATTTATTACACACCCAGCTGTACAACCTCATCCACTCAACCACACAGCCACAGAGACCCTGCAGCGAGGGTCTCCACAGAGGGCAATGCAGCGACACCAGGACAGAAGGGTGATGTACAATCCCCACCCCACAGTGCCTGGAACCCCTGGGGACGCTGTGCCCATTCAGCATGTGTAACCCACCGGTGGGTGTCTCAAAAGTCCCTCTCTGTGCTGAGGTACAGAGGATACAAGTTCTTACAACCCCTCCCCCCTCCACTACCGACCGTTCGCTCACAGGGTAGCCGCTCAAGCTTTTAGCTCTGGAGTCTCCCGGTTCAACCCTGAGGTCAGCCAAGATGGCGGCCATGACGCACGACGAGGTACAGCACGTCCTATGAACACCCAGTGGCCTTACTGCAGAGCTGCCTAAGGCACCACACAACTCTCCTGCAGCAGCCGGCAGACGAGTGCACGCTGCCCAGTCAGTCCGTTTCATGGGAGGGGAGGGAGGAAGTGGGTAGGCTGGATTCACGGGGAATGAGGAAGCAGAGCTCTGAGCTCCATCAGATGAGGGGGAGACGCAAAGGAATTTTTAAAAGACAGCACCCTCACCCACCCAGCCCTGGCCTCAGAACCCAGCGGGACCAGGCAGAGTCGGGCAAACCCGAATCTCTTCTGGGGTGTTAGCCTCTGATTGCCATCAGGAGATCCTCCCCAAACTGTAATCTGCCAACAGGTGCTTTCCATTACCCAAGTGCTGTGTATCAGCGTTCGGGTGTCTGAATGCCGGGCCTGCTGCAGATCATCCCGTCTGCCCACCTCCAGCACAGGCACACGGCCTCATGGCTGTTAGCTGAGGAGGAGAGGCAGAGCCAGACTGGAACCCACCTATCAAGCTGCCTGAGTGAAAGCGGCAGCTGGAAAGCTAGAATGGAGACATTCAGGCTGCCTTGGGTCAGTGAGGGCTCTGCACCATTCAGCACCAGACCTGGGCTGTTTCCTCAACAGCAGGGCTGGACACCCCAGCGATCTGAGTGCATTCGAATAGCCAAAGTGTCCCCCCACAGCTCGGACAGGCTGCCTCCCACCCTAACACTCGGAGCCAAGAAGAGTGCTGCCCGCTTGCTCCTAACATGCCCCACCGCTCGGGCAGGGAAAGGGGACATACCCCCTCATACGCTCACTAGAGCGGGTCAGGAGCTTTTCAGTGAAACCGCCCTCAGAAAATGTCAACTCCTCGAAAATGAAGCTTTTCTCAGACACGTCCCTGTATCTGTTCACCGGGAAGGTTTCTCCCGCTCAGGATGCAATTACTGGTCCAAACCGGAGACCCACCCATCCCAGAATAGCCAACAGCCTGGCGCAGGGCCCTCACATGGGACGGAAGAGACTGTGGAGATTTCCCAGGAGACTGAATCAGGCACACATGGATCTGAACCTGGTTCTCCCAAGACCATGCTCTAACCTATTCAGGGGTGGGATGTCTCACAGGATGGAATTCTGGTTTTCCGGACAGCCCTAATGCTCAGCGCCCCATTCAAACCGTCCCCTGCTGGCACAGTCCTCCACAGACATTCCCTCTCCCCACCCTGATCCAGAAGGAAGTCTGAGCACTGGGGGGGAAAGCCCTGGACAGCCATGGACATTCCTACCATTGGAAAAGCAGTTGCCAACTGGAGCCAGAGAAGGGAAGGAAAGGTCTGGAGGGATCAAATGTGACATTGATCTGAACCATCAGTGAAAGTGGAACAACTCTGGCTGCCAGGGCCTGCA